ACGGACCGCCCCAACGCCATTAAGCCGGGCTAACGAGTCCCTTGGGCGATGATGAACAGCTATTTAATTTCGTTTCGTAAGCAAACGAACCTCTTTAGCTGGACATCGGGCCCCGTTGCCTCGGCCTTTCACTTCGAGGGTGGCGCTATTAAATCCGATTTTTTCCCTACGATCCCTTTCCAAATTCATCACTCCTACCTCCTAGACTGCGTATTCGCTCCTAGTAACTGTCAAGAAATGTCAAGAAATTCGACATCGACGAACTTTATCGGAATAGTTCGAAGCTATGTTAACCACTTGCGCTAGAAAGAAGTGCCACGCACGTCGTAATGCTTTTGTCGCAGAATCGCCAACGACGTGGTATACACGTGGTCAGGCAATCGTCACAGAAACGCTGGACCGTTCTGGCACACGCGACTGTGAATTTCTTGCGATTATTTTTATCGGTTAACGCGAATTAGAAATTGCCAGGGTTGAAAAGGGTAAGGGAACAGACTCGAAATTCGTGGTACTTGAAAGAAACGGATAGATCGAATGGGGTCGATGAAGAATCGATATTCCTTACGAGACCTGCCGCAATTTGCCCGCTCGAGCTGCACCGGTTAATTATAGGATGAGCATTTTGGCGGGCAATTTAATTTCGCAAATGATCCGTCCACGATTAATATTCATAATTTGTGCACGTTGGATAACCGGTTATACAATGTATATTACATAACAATATAACCGTGCAAAGAGAGAGAAAGAGAGAGAGAAAGAGAGGGATTCAGAAGTGAAAGGGAGGCATTAGAACGGCGCTGCGTTGCAGGGCTACCAGAAACGGGATTTTGCTGAGTTAATTCGAAATAGTGGGACAGGAAGACGAAATTCGGCATGGGTTTCAACGGTTCTGCTTAATCGACACAAAAAATACCCAGTGTCTTCTTTAGAAAAAGGAGCCGTGAAATTTGTAAAATTATTTCGTTGCTGCCCACCTACGTCGCGTAGTGATCTTTCACTAGACAGCAGCCTCTACGAAAAACCTAGAAAATAGAGAACTGTATATCGATATATAATTTGCTAACGACGTAACACGAATGTTTGCCGTATCAGGACTCGATCGAATCGTTAAAATTCTTTCGGCTGACGCGACTATAGCACGTAAAACAGATTTCCGTGGCAGGTGGACGAAACCTAAGGATTAAGTCCGCCGATCGATTTGTCGCCTGATTTCTCTTTGCAGAGCTGAGTCACCGGCCTTTTTGCTCGCTTCACGGTGAATCGAAAGCAGCTGGGATTACCTAGATGTAGAAATCTTTGTTCTCTCACGAAACGGGACCGAGCTCCCGTCGTTCCGATCATTGTGTATGAAAATCGAGACGCGACTCAATTAATTAACTGCACGAGAAAATAGAAACCGACCTTTTCAGATTCCACAAAATCCCCCGAAGTCATGAGACAGCAAGAAATGATCCCTGCTTTCTCGCGATTCCTCTAATCGCCAAAATTGTCTCTTCTCCGTCGTCTGCACCTTCCAGGCAAAGAGAGGGATAAAAATACCGAACGAATCCTCAGCGAGAGATGCCACGACCCCCAGAGAGACCCACTTCCGGGACCCAGACCGCCTCGTATCTCACGCAACGAGCTCGTCCCGAGCGTGGAAAGAAGAAAGAGGCTAAACAAAGAGAGAAATGAAGAAAGAAAAAGAGAAATGAAAGCAGCGAGGAAAGGATGGAATGAGAAAATCGGCGCACGGGTACCTCGATAGACGGGGTCAAGTCGGGCCCGCGGGAAAAGAATGGCAGCGTTTAAAGGGGGCTTAAAGTCATCGCGGACGTAATCGGCCCTGTCGATCTTCGGTGGCCCTCACCGGTGCCATAATCCTGCACGGAGAACCGGCGTCCATTCAGCGGCTCTCCACACAGCCCTGGTTGGCATTGATCATTGTGTCTCACACGATCGGCTCATAATAGGCCACGTCGTTTCCATCGTTCCCCGTTGCTGATACGAGAATAAAGAGTCTCGATCTTCGCCCTGCTCGCCTTCTCTCTTCCGCTCCTGCGTTCTTCTTTATTCCACGTGTCTTTGTCCGTGTGTATTCTCGACCAGTGTTGTCCGATGATCGCGAGGACCCAGCACGCACCGAGTCTCCTCCAAAGCGGCGTCATCCAGCGACTTGCAACAAGGGTGTCGCCGATAAGATCGTGATCGATGGTACGCGAGATCGATATTTCGTTTCTCCACCGACCAAGGTTTTCGGCTGGACACCGATGGAAGCCGATCTTGAGCTTCTGGGATCGTCGCGCAATTTTGCCAAGATCCATTGGAAAATTTTCATTCTTTTTTCCTGCAATTCATGCTGAGAAGATTTTATCGAACATTTGGAAAGCTTCCCAATTATCAATCGTTCGGAAGAATTAAACTTACTGCCAAGTGAAAGCGTCATTAAACCTTTGCGAACTACGACCGCATATATGCGTTTGGCGAAAACAACTGGTAGAGCCAAAAAACCCATATATGTGTCTCACGTAAACGCATTGCTATGGCCACATATGTCTAGAATTTGACATCTTGGTGTGCTATCGATGACAATAGCGACTAAGCAGAAACGTGCACTGGCAATTTGAAATGCCTATCATGACAGCAACTGTACTCCATGGTTCCAAGTGGCCCTTAATTTAAACATTCGACTAGGTGTAAGGTGCTAAATAAATTCCTCGTACATGGAGGAATTCCTCGTACCCAAGTTTGTACCCAAAGTTTGTACCCTTGGCACATCGCGATCACGAGGGAATCATAAAATCAAAGACAGACCATCGTGTAAGAAGAAAACGATCTACTCTCCATCCTCGTGTATCGAGGTGTACCCAAATTGCATGCAAAATTGCAAAACGGTGAATGTTTTCGGCATGGGTTTCAACGGTTCTGCTTAATCGACACAAAAAATACCCAGTGTCTTCTTTAGAAAAAGGAGCCGTGAAATTTGTAAAATTATTTCGTTGCTGCCCACCTACGTCGCGTAGTGATCTTTCACTAGACAGCAGCCTCTACGAAAAACCTAGAAAATAGAGAACTGTATATCGATATATAATTTGCTAACGACGTAACACGAATGTTTGCCGTATCAGGACTCGATCGAATCGTTAAAATTCTTTCGGCTGACGCGACTATAGCACGTAAAACAGATTTCCGTGGCAGGTGGACGAAACCTAAGGATTAAGTCCGCCGATCGATTTGTCGCCTGATTTCTCTTTGCAGAGCTGAGTCACCGGCCTTTTTGCTCGCTTCACGGTGAATCGAAAGCAGCTGGGATTACCTAGATGTAGAAATCTTTGTTCTCTCACGAAACGGGACCGAGCTCCCGTCGTTCCGATCATTGTGTATGAAAATCGAGACGCGACTCAATTAATTAACTGCACGAGAAAATAGAAACCGACCTTTTCAGATTCCACAAAATCCCCCGAAGTCATGAGACAGCAAGAAATGATCCCTGCTTTCTCGCGATTCCTCTAATCGCCAAAATTGTCTCTTCTCCGTCGTCTGCACCTTCCAGGCAAAGAGAGGGATAAAAATACCGAACGAATCCTCAGCGAGAGATGCCACGACCCCCAGAGAGACCCACTTCCGGGACCCAGACCGCCTCGTATCTCACGCAACGAGCTCGTCCCGAGCGTGGAAAGAAGAAAGAGGCTAAACAAAGAGAGAAATGAAGAAAGAAAAAGAGAAATGAAAGCAGCGAGGAAAGGATGGAATGAGAAAATCGGCGCACGGGTACCTCGATAGACGGGGTCAAGTCGGGCCCGCGGGAAAAGAATGGCAGCGTTTAAAGGGGGCTTAAAGTCATCGCGGACGTAATCGGCCCTGTCGATCTTCGGTGGCCCTCACCGGTGCCATAATCCTGCACGGAGAACCGGCGTCCATTCAGCGGCTCTCCACACAGCCCTGGTTGGCATTGATCATTGTGTCTCACACGATCGGCTCATAATAGGCCACGTCGTTTCCATCGTTCCCCGTTGCTGATACGAGAATAAAGAGTCTCGATCTTCGCCCTGCTCGCCTTCTCTCTTCCGCTCCTGCGTTCTTCTTTATTCCACGTGTCTTTGTCCGTGTGTATTCTCGACCAGTGTTGTCCGATGATCGCGAGGACCCAGCACGCACCGAGTCTCCTCCAAAGCGGCGTCATCCAGCGACTTGCAACAAGGGTGTCGCCGATAAGATCGTGATCGATGGTACGCGAGATCGATATTTCGTTTCTCCACCGACCAAGGTTTTCGGCTGGACACCGATGGAAGCCGATCTTGAGCTTCTGGGATCGTCGCGCAATTTTGCCAAGATCCATTGGAAAATTTTCATTCTTTTTTCCTGCAATTCATGCTGAGAAGATTTTATCGAACATTTGGAAAGCTTCCCAATTATCAATCGTTCGGAAGAATTAAACTTACTGCCAAGTGAAAGCGTCATTAAACCTTTGCGAACTACGACCGCATATATGCGTTTGGCGAAAACAACTGGTAGAGCCAAAAAACCCATATATGTGTCTCACGTAAACGCATTGCTATGGCCACATATGTCTAGAATTTGACATCTTGGTGTGCTATCGATGACAATAGCGACTAAGCAGAAACGTGCACTGGCAATTTGAAATGCCTATCATGACAGCAACTGTACTCCATGGTTCCAAGTGGCCCTTAATTTAAACATTCGACTAGGTGTAAGGTGCTAAATAAATTCCTCGTACATGGAGGAATTCCTCGTACCCAAGTTTGTACCCAAAGTTTGTACCCTTGGCACATCGCGATCACGAGGGAATCATAAAATCAAAGACAGACCATCGTGTAAGAAGAAAACGATCTACCCTCCATCCTCGTGTATCGAGGTGTACCCAAATTGCATGCAAAATTGCAAAACGGTGAATGCAAGCAAGAGAAGCTTCCTTCGTGGAATCATTAAAATTATAAATCGAGGATCGGGATATTCGAGCGAAACTCGGACAAAGATTCCAGTGAGTCAGTGCGTCCCCCATGGCGATCAGGCAACACGTAGGAGTCTTCTACACGCGAATGTGGGATGAATGGAAATACGGGTACTTGAGTAAGCTTAAATTACATTTCATTCATGCAGGAAAAGCAGACACGCGGGAGTCGGCCTTCCGGCTCGGCGTTGCGCACGTAGAAAGAGGCAGAGCTTCTGCGTAATAATGGCCGGCCTATAATGCGTATTATCCCGACATCCTGCGGCGTCTCCTTTAGCGTGCAGCTTTTCCTAGCCGACGTTGCGACATCCAGAGACTTAATCGGGCAATGTTTCGCGTTTTCCCAGCCGCGGACACTCGCGGGTTGTCCCCCGAGGAGGCGAGTCGTTGCGCAAACCGGGACGAAAAGTTTGGAATTACAAGGAGCGCGGTGAAATCACCGTTTCGATGTCTTTATCGAGGAAAATGATCGTGCAACGTTCCCCGGCCTTCGATATGCAATCTCGCTTTGATTTATGATATTTACGATGCTGCTTTTTACGAACGTGTGGCAAGCCTCTTTGATCCGATCCACTGGCAAGCCTTAAATGGTAATCTCCGATCGAAAGGATGAGATTTTCCTGATATTTCATACATTATCCAGATCTCTTTTCGCAATTGAAAATTCGCAGCAATTTTCCGAGAGTATCGTCATCGTGATTGTCGTGTTATATTACACGGATCTAAATCGGTTTTAAATAAACGAAGCTTTCCTAATTTCCTCGGAAGGATTTCATAGCAGACGTTGCCGAGGACATTTTTCGATGCATAATTTGATAAACTTAATAATTAAGAGCAACGTGATTATAAAATAAGCGGTACAGCGATGAAATAATTGGATAGATCGCGTATTTAATACGAGGAAGTAGATGGAAGATGCCGACAACGAAGCAAATAAATAAGAGTGCGCAAGTGGCTTCGGGTTTAGTCCGAAGTGTATCGTCGGTGAAAGTGGACGTCCTTTACGAAACACGAATTCTGGAAACCACTGCAGACTTTAATCGCGAGCCATCGAGCCGCCGTTTCAATGGGGGAGTATGGTGTACAGGGGACAGGAAGGGGGTAAAAATCGGTGAAGAGGAATCATGGCTGGATGCACTCCCTCCCTATGTTCACGCACTTTTACCGCCGGCTAGCATCGGCACTGGTTCTGCGTTTTTCGAGGGGGAACCGACGACCTGTTGAGCCCGTTGTCCTACCGAGGAAAGTCACAATGAATCGTTCGAAACACTGTAGAATCTTCAATAATTTTTTTACAGATTTGCCTATATAATCCACCATTTAAATCTGAGCGAACAAATATTAAACGGGGGAAAGACCGTCTCCTCTTTACACTTCCTTCGAGTAAAATTGAAGTACCCGATCAGAAAGATATAATAAATTTTGAACTTTTGTTCAGAATCTTGTCGAAAAAATTATATGCTACCTAAGAATGCATTGAGAGAAGATACCTTCCAGTCCATGCAGCGACGAAATTATAGTTACAAATCTTATAGTTTCCTATGAGGAATAAATACAGGGTGGCCATTGAAAAACTGAAGGATTTGAAATTTTCGAATCCAAAATTTATTCATTTTCAATCTTTTTTATTTTCTCTTTTTGTAGATTGTAGAGCATCCCTTGGATATAAAAAAAATGACAATATCTATTAATTATATTTCCAAATAAAATAATTAAAAATTAAAGGAACACGTGTTTGTAGAAATTATTTTTGTCTCATATCATTCAGCCTTTCTTTCAATGTACCTTTGTACCATACTCAAGTATTAGAAGAAAATTCGTCTGAAAAGGATAAATGCACGAACATTTCCACGAAAAGGTTTCAGAAACTCTTCCAAACAGCGCTTTCACGTGGCAGCAATTTTCCCCGACAGACTGTCTGTTTCTCCTTCCACGCGGAGTCAACGTGAAAATCAAAGCAACCCGCGAAACAATATACTTTCCTGCTTCGCGTCACGCTGCTCCACTTTCCCTTCTGTCTTTCCTTTTAATGACACTCATCGGGATTATTCGTAATGATCGGTCCCGCCAACGAACGGGAAATCGCAATTTGCATAATGCAGGGACGCGCACGGGGCAAGTCGTGTATAAAAAGAGAAAATCGAATGTCGTGCGACCGCCAGTTTCGACCGATGGGACTTCCAAGGATGGCAAAGCTCGCGGCGATCGCGATCGTGCTTGCAGCTTGCACCGTGCAGCGATCCAGCGGGATCGATCCACGGGGATCGATCGAGAGGAGGGCAGCGACGGCAGGTGAACGAAACATTCTCTCTTCGATACCCCATGAGATTCCTTCGCGAGGATAGTGACAGGGGAGTCTCGGTGATATGGCAGATCTCCCTTTGTCGTTTCTTCCTTGCTTTGCAAGCTTGGTAATTTGCAAGATCGATGTTACTAGCAGGGAGTTTTCTTTCCGAAACGTTGCTCGTGATTGGAAAGAGAATTGAGAGAGAAGTCATTACAGTATTCTAGATTGCAGTAGAATGTAATAAGTCTCTTTCAAATTTGTATCAGGTACAGCTGACTTATTTCTTCGCTAGAGTTTTCTCAGAAGAGACTTCGTAGGTGTTTTCATAAAATGGCGGTGACGAAGAGATTTATGGTTTAATAGATCATCGAGTCTCGATGGATTTCGTTCAATTAAAATTTAGGTACACAATTGAGGATATTGTTAAATTTTCTGAAAGGTGTATTGGAAGAATTATTTATGAAAAATAAATTTGTTTTACTGGAAAATGAATGCTTCAAAATTATTGTCACTGTTCCAGGTATGGCAGATGAGGCCATCGGGGAGATTTTTCGCGTCATCTCGACGGAAAAGTCAAGCAAAAAGGACGATGACCTGCTGGTGAAGTACATCAAAGAGGAAATCATGAGGACAGCGCAAAGCATCAAAACGCCATCAGGTTCTATCGAGGCTGCAGCCAGGAGAGCTCAAAAATTGGTCACCGAATTGACGGCTGCCTACACCACTGCTATTTACAAGTCGAAATCCACGGAGGAGGCCAAAGTGAACTTTGGTCGATTCCAGAACACTGTACAAAGTATCGTAGATTTCATCAAAAATGGCCAGTTCGTCATCTGAACCCGCTGTTGAATATAAAAATCGTTGAAAAGATCTAGCGCAATTTTACGCAAACTTTGTTGAAAGATATTCTTTCTTACTATAAGTAATTTATGAAATAAAGTTGACTAAAAAATGACAAACGATCAGGAAACAGTAAAAGAAGACGACAAAGAATGGTTAAAAGTATCAAAGAGAACGATGCAAAATGAAATAACTTAGTCTGTACGGAATAATTCATAGAAAAACTATTCTTCGTTAATTAAACCAAACCTCATCCTGTAATTCATCATAAGAAATTATACATCCTTCCTCGATCTAATCGCTATCGTTCGCAAATTTCGAGAAGTATCTTAAGCTCGCTAAAAGATAATCCCGTCAGGATTTCAACGAACGAATCAAGTGTAAAAAACCCATGTCCTTCTGAATATGGACATCGTTGCTGACACTCGATCTTCGAAAGGAGATCAAAAATATAAGAAACAATTCATCCTCGAAAGCCTGCGGTATCAATCATCGAGGACGCTCGACGAATCTATCGGGAACATCGAACACGTGGCAGGAACTTTTACCAGGGCAGAGATGGTACGATATTTCACTTTTTTCTTCCTTTCTTCTCCGTCGACGATGACCATACATACATATGTACGTATGGCAACGAAATTATTCCCGCTGACGTATGAGTCAGGGCAGACGATCCATTGTAAAAGCGGCATGGGCTCATAATCTGGCGATGTAGGATCTCCAGGCCGAGCTGACCGGAACTGCGCCTATGCTCTCTCGCCGGAAGTGCCGCTGCCACATGTAGTAATATAAATTATAATGCCCTTACGGTTTTTCCTTTCGCGGATTTGCATTTAAAACACCGGAATGGCATTGTCGTCGGGATTGGCGCGAGCGATTTTCATGGAAATAAGAAAACCGCGGGTGCCGCCGTCGGTTCCTGGCCTCTGCTCTTTTGGCTACTCGTTACTCGTTGCTCCCTGGTTACTCGTTGGCCGCTGCTTTTCCTCGTGTGCGAGATAAAACGAGCTGCAGAGGACCAGGGAGGAGAGGGAAGAGCGCGTTGCTCGTTGATTTCCATCGAATCGTGCCAAGGCTAATCGCAGATCAAATCTGGAAACGGCTCGCTTTCACCGCCTCGGACAATGGGCACTAAAGCTTTTCTAATTCTCCTTGCCTTCCCCTTTTCCCTCTTATCTACGTTTCTTTTTCTTCGCCGTCTCATTTTTTTCTCCTGCTTCTTCTGTTCCATCTAGCGGTCAGCAGAGGCCTCGAGAGCCGGCAGGATTCGTGAGATACAGAGGAGCTTCCTTAATTAGCCGGCACTCTAATGGCGGAAAACGCGCAACAGGCTAATTAGATACTGTTTATTAACTGTTTATCGCGGCTGATAGCGTTCCTCGCTGGTATAGGGTTCCTTTGTGCTATCGTGGAGGTTTCAAGGACCATGGAACTATGACAGGAGTCCTTAGCGTTTGTAGTAGATTCGCGATGGAGATAGTTGTGGTGTTTGTCAATCCATTTTCCAAGGATTCTGGCTTCGAAAGCATGGACCTTATCGGCTGCAACCGAGTAAAGAATTAATTAAGAATTGCACAAAGTTAAACGCATGAAGTATGATCGTGTCTTCGACAGATTCTGTCAGAAGAGTACCAAGAGTTAGTTTATAAGCGTGCTCTTCGCGTTGAGGAGCACGGGGCAATTTTTGGACGAAGGGAGGAAAAGAATAGGATGATGCTTTTCGTCCAGGGTCCACGGACTCATCAGTAAGGCTATCTAGTAGACCCGGGCCTTAAACACAGGATATTATAGGGAAGACCGAGGAGGATTCACCGAGTCACTTGCAAGAACTTCGATCCTCCTAGCATCCACCTGGCGGAAAGTGCGCGAACTACGTGATCGCCACAGTTTAGGAGAATTAATCGGTGTTTATATTTTATCCACGTGATTTTGGGACTTCTGAGTTACCTTGGATGCAATATCAATTTACAAGTTTGCCTGCAATAAAAATTTATGACAGGAGAGTCCGAATACTGTCCTGGGTGACTGTCTACAATGATGTCAGAACTCCGCAATATGGCGGATGCGAAGTACCGTGTGTTCATACCGAAACTTTCACGGCCCAAACATCTGATTAAAGATACTGTACTCAAGTTACTAATGATTTTCTTCCCAGATTCATATGATACTCCATCTACCTAGGTCGACGTTTCTGATTTCTCAAAAATTACACAGTACACCGTCAACGATGCGCTAATACTCTCGAACAGTTTAACTATCCTCTTGGATATGGCTTATTGCCATAAAACGAATCTAAAGCTGGCGAACAATTTCCAAGGCAGATTCTGTAACCAACAAAGGCTCCCCACAGCGCAGCCGGATTTTCCAAGGAATCCGCGAAGCTGCTGGTTCTCGACGGCACCAAGGACAGCCCAGAGGAGCGGAGCAGCCTCTCGTCGTGGCCAGCTCGAAGTTACGACGGAGTCCGCGGCGTCTTACGTGGATTTTATATGGGAAACTGATTCGACCACGAACCAGAGGATAATATAACACCGGGGGCATTTTGTTTTGTTGCGCAAGAGGATAATAAACATCGTTCGGGCCCGCTACCGTGCCGACTAGATAGCTACGACGATGAAACAATGCGGCATTGTCCGGGCAGGCTGATCCGCCAAAGCACAGCCGAACCCAAGCACCGTGTTAAGTCATGAACGGCGTTGCACACGGCCTTAGAAACGTCCATGCCGGAGCTTGGATAGAGCCAGGGACCTGACCCCGGCCAAGCATGCTCCGCGATGGAAAAATCGCTGCAACCGGCCTCTGTGTTCGCCGGAAACGGAAGATCGACTTTATGTCCGCGCCCGATCCCTGAAGCATTGGACAGGAAAAGGGAAATATCGTGGAAGTGCTGATTCCTTCCAGGGCTACTTTTGGTTGGGAGGGACAGAATGGTTTGTGATGACAGGGCAGATAGACTAGCTTTGAAATTTGAATTTTCGATGGTACTGGGTGTATCAGATAAACGAAGAAGGCTCACTATGTTCTGTATGAAGAACGAAAAAATAAACAGGAAACAATCGAGAAAGAAGAGTCTTTAGCTGACAAGATGATACCTTAGACGAAGGTACTTCCTTCGCGAAAAATAATAATTGTCTAGATTAGATTATTTAGTGATTCTAATTAAGATCAGATATGCGAAATTAATAGAGCTCTATGATTTCTTCAGGTACCAGTGACATCTGCGACATTTCCATGGCCGATTTCAAAGGTGCATATTCTCGAGAGCAGAAGACGACTGACGTACCTTGCCATTTTATTCGTCGAAGGGAGAGCACGTTCGCGTGCAGGATTCTCGAGGCAAAGCAAGAGCGGTCTGTTGAGGCCGCTTTACAAATAATTCGAAACGGCCGGGCTCGAAGGACGATTCCTTCGGGAAGGCGATTTTTCCGGTAGAGCAGGCGGCTCTGCTCGATTGTTCGCGTTGTTCACGGCGCAATGAAAGCTCGATGGTACGAACAAAAAGCCGTGAGGTAGACATAAATAAATAGGTGGTGGGTGTGGTTGGTAGGCCGCACACATGGCGTCGTGACCCGTCTCTTCTCTTCGTGAGCTCAGGGCCCGCTTAAGTTATGCCCTGCGGAATGCTGCTGCTCCCGCTTCTTTCGGTGTCGTGGCTAAACGCAGTTTCACCATGCCCCGGCTTAGTTTCGCCTCCTTTTTCCTCCTCTCGCTCCATTCTCCGCCTGTTACCAATGTTTATTTAGCCGAAGATTAACCTTTCAATTGGCAAAGTTCGGATAACCGATCCGAGCAGATACGCGACTCCGGTTTGGATAAATTCTCTGCTTATTTGCGGGTACCTAACTTCCATTTGCTCCGTCGATTTTTGGCCAAGGAATCGAGTATTAACGTAAGTATGGTTATCATACATCAGGCTCTGTATATTTTTTCACGGGAAATATGTTTGATCTAGGAAGAAGTGTTTGGTATCACGATCGATCTTATGGAATTTAAACAAACTTCATTTATGGACCCCGAGTGAAAGAGCACAGCAGCTAATGGATTAATCTACTCTTCTTCTTTTACGATACTCGCCCATGAAACGCCTCCAGACAAGGAACACGTCGACTAACAGGTTAACGATTCTTTCTGTCTCTCGAGTGGCCGTGATTTCGATCGTCTTTGCAATGGGAATTTTCGTCCACCCTTTCGGAAGGAATGGAACGGTAAAAATGCATCGCACGCGTCGCGTCCGTCGGAATCGTGAGGACGATGTCGAGCAGATACGAGCAGCCTTTTATAGGCAGAGACACGGAAGTCGTGGACGCGAAAATATTCCTCTGTGATAACAGGACGATCTGGATCCAGAGCATCCGTTTATCTTTATCTCCGTGAGAACCTCCTGCGCTGAGGGATCTTAATTAAGACTAATATCCCTGATAAATTTTAAGTATCGCTTCCAAGAAAACCACCATACCGCGACTTATCATTCCCCGAACGAACGAATGACTGATGATCCAATAGGAAATTTCATTATTGCAGGCCATTAATCCAGCTCGTTCCGACGCCGGAGCAAGAGAATCGGGAGAAACACGTGCCAAAGGCGAGGAAAAGCTCGCTAATATTCGACGGAGCAACGGTAAAACGGTCTGCCGTTATATTATAAATTAGAGTCGAATGGAAGATTCGCTTCACAAACCGCGTGAATAATTTATGCGTCGACGCGGAGCACCGGTGTACGTTGGCGAACAGCGACGTGCCCCGCGAAGATTCAATGGCGTATCGAGTATCCCTGAAGATTGCGAGGTTCCTCGAGGTACCCCTTCGACTCGTTAACAGGCAGTCCATATGTTTCCATTGGTATTCGTTCTACGTTGCAGGTCGATCCGTGAAAATCCCGCAGCGGCATCGCTGGAACACCGTGGAGAAAGGGTCGTTAGAAATCTGACAAGAAAATTGGCACGGAAGACGATTCGATTAGACGAGATATGAATTTTAAAGGCAGCCAGCAGCGGTAG